ACACACACACACACACACACACACACACACACACACACAGAGTGATGCACAGATGAACACTCACATAGAAGTCAGTGGCAGCCCACAATCCTGTTTTGATCTCTCAGCTCAGCCAGCTAGCCCTGTCAACTGCTGCCTAATGTCTGGCAAAGCAAATCTGAAGAAGCAGGAGAACAAGAGGGAGGAGAAAGTGGAAGGGACAAAGAATGCCCTTGGCTGTTTAAGGACCCATCAGAGCATCTAGTTCTTTCTTCTGGGGCTGGGGGAATGATTCAGAGCCCCAGGCTACTTTGCTAGAGCAGGTAGGAGCCAGGCTTTAGAAAAGGCCAAGGACAAGCCAAGAATGGCTTATGCTTTCGTGATTGGCAGTCAGATATTGGTGTATACCTTAAAGATCCATTGAGACGCAATAGCATATTTTCTTAATGATGGGGATACAACCTTGAACTTCATTTCCTGAGCACCCCAAGTATCTGTTTATGTCCTTTACATGCAATATGCTAATAGTCAGAACCTGGTAGAACAGGTACATTATCTATCACACCTGTTCTCCAGGTAAAAGATCAGTGTTATACAGTTGCTAACTAACAGAGGTGAAATCTAATTCATGTTGCTGGCTGCCTTTTCTGGGACCCGTTGTCTTTCCCAAACACTTACTTTGGGGTCACAGTGGCTTCCTTCTCAGTTGTCCTCCACAATCCACGAGTGCCATAATAGCAAGGAGGTTGAGCTTTCTCAGGCTGGGCTCCAGTGTGGCCCCTTACAGGAGGCACAAAATCACTGGGATGACGAGCAAAGACCTCTTGCTCTGGGAGACTCTGTGAGGCCTGCCTTGAGGCCTCCAGGTGGCCCACCTTCAGGGATTGTGGCTGTTCCAGGCCCTCATCTGGATTAGGGGCATGGGAACCAGTGGTTTCTGAACTAAAATACTGGGGTGGTAGGTCCTCCTCTTTCCGTCCCTCCTCCTCCTGCTCTTGCTCCTTCTTCTCCTCTACTTCCTCATCTTCCTCATCACACCTCTGCTGCTGCTGCTGCTGCTGCTGCTGTTGCTGCTGCAGCTGTTGCTGCTGCTGTTTCTGCTGCTGCTGTGCTGCACGGAAAAGCCTATATTTTTCCCAGTTGGGAGGAGGAGGACGAGGGGGAGGGAAAGCCTTCTTTCGGGCCCCAAGGAGTTCTGGCTGAGTCTCACTGCCTTTAGTAAATGGCTCCCTCTGAGGCATCGCCCAGGCCCGGGGGTTTGGAGGCTCCAAGCTGATGTGACTCTCTGAGAAGGCTCGGTTTCGCAGTGGGCGGGGCATGGAGGCAACAGAACTCCCATCTTCATAAACTGAAGATTCCTCTGTTTTGTTCAAGGCGAGTTTGAAGTCTCCAAGGAGGTCAAGAGATGAGATTGCTCTGTAGTTTGACAAGTCCAGTGCTGGGTTTTCAAGGCAAGGGTGGAAGGGAGCAGACCATGAAAAGCTGGCCTTAGAATGAGCCATTTCCCTGCAAAACAACAGAGAAGCATTGACCACGAGAAGCATGTGGTGGATAGGCCCATATTTCGGATGACATCATGTCCGCAAAGTTAAAATGACTACAAAACTCTAATAGATGTGGTAAGTGTAATGGCCACGCTGATAAGAATATAATTATGAAGACAACAAACATATTTTATGCATAAACTAAGTACTAAACACTAGTGCATTGGTTCTCAACCTTCCAAATGCTGTGGCCCTTTAATATAGACCCCTTAATACATGTGGCGGTGACCCCCAATCATTAAAACTATTTTGTTGCCATTTCATAACTGTAATTTTGCCACTGTTATGAATTGTAATGTAAATATCTGACATGCAGGAAATCTAATATGGGGACCCCGAAAGGGTCACAACTCAGGCTGAGAACTATGACACTAGTGTATACTTTCAGTGCTTTCTATGTTCAAACGTATTTGCTCATTACAATACACCTAGGAGGTAGTTCTTACAGTTTGGATTTTAGAGTTTGGGAAAATGAGACACTGTTAGGATAAGTAACTTGTCCAGGGTTCTAAAGGTTATGAGGTAGAGCTGGGATATGAACTTGAACTGTTTAGCCAAAGTCAAAAATAAACACATAGTACCCCGACCTATTTATGGCACTCAGCCTGGAAATGCAATAATCTAGGACTTACAATCGTGGTTTTCCTGCATTATTTGATTTCTCTCTCTTGTTTTACTACGCAGGTTTCTAGTGCTTAGAAATGTACAGTGATTTCCATAATGAATGCCCGTGGCGCCGCTTACTACTCAGAATCAGCACAAATTGATACTTTACTATGAAAAGTGCACGAGGTTTTCTTGTATCTCACTCCCCACTTCCATTCTCCTACTGCCTATTTGATGCAAGATAGATTAGAAATGAACTACATATAACTTCCCTGTTCTTACATGTGTGCTAAGAGTACTAAGTTATTCACAAGGATCTACCACTTTTGCTTAAAAATATTTTCTTCTGATCACATCACAATCTGAAATTTCAAAAAGAACCGTTAAATTATAGGCTTTTTTTGAAAACTAACTTTAAAAAGTAGACAAACTATTCTGCTATCCAAAAATTGAGGATGGGATAAAGATGAGTTACTAACATGAGCAAATATGAACTCAAAGAGACTGAAGCAGCAAGCACAGGGCATGGACAGGTCTGTACTAGGTCCTTCCTGCACGCACGCACGCACGCACACACACACACACACACACACACACACACACACACACACACACGGCTTCCAGTTTAGTGTTTTTATGAGATTCCTGAGTGTGAGAATGACTCTTGTGCCTTCTATTGGACTCTTTTCCTTCTATTTGTTTGTCTTATCCAACTTTGCTATGAGTGTTTTTGTTTTATCTTATAATATTTTATTTTGTTATATTAAAGTGAGTGAGTGAGTGTAAATCTAGACACACTGGAAGGCTAACAGCTGAACTGTCACACCTACTAGAACACTCAATGGGTGTGTCAACCACTCTAGGGCAGGCATCATGGTCAGGGGCAGCTGACCAACATGTAATGGACTTCATAGTTTTGTTGTGTGATTTCATTTGGCTATAGTTTGTGTGTGTGTGTGTGTGTGTGTGTGTGTGTGTGTGTGTGTGGTAGCATGGTTTATTTTTCTTGGTTTTGTTGTTATATTGGGTTTTTGTTTGTTATTTTGAAAAATAATTTAAAGTTGGGTAGGTAGGAAGGAGGAGAGGATCTTGAAGAACTTGGGAGAGGGGAAGAATATGACGAAAATATATACATATATGTATATATATAAAGGATAAGCAAGCATCTTATGAAACAACTGTAAGTAAAAGTATGTTATTAGTTAACAGAACCAACCAGTAAATTTAGAAATAAAGTAAACTAATCAAGCATGGTGACACACACCTTTAACCCCAGTACTCAAGAGGCAGAGCAATGGATCTCTGTGAGTTTGAGGCCAACTTGGTTTACATAGTAAATTTCAGGATAATCAGGGTTATATATACTACAGATTTCCTGTCTTGAAAACAAGAAATAAGGTAGACTATAAAAACATCATCTATATAAAACATTATAAACAAGGAGATAAAAATTATTCTGTAAATATTTTGAGACAACTTTTGATCGGTGCTATACATGTGTATAAATACTTAGTATTTTATGTTATATATTCATATAAGAAAAATTTTGAAATTTAAAATATGATCTTTTGTATGGAAAAATAATACTTTTAAGTTATAAAAGATAATCTCAAAGGACAAAGTCCAGTTTTATTTGAATATTTGTAAAATGTCAGACTTGTATACGGTGAGATTTATCAAAATGAAATGACTCTCTTCAGCTGATTATAAAGAGGCAAGCTCCTTAGACTTATGATCTGCTTTCCTATGGTAGCCTGCGAGCAATCAACATCATGCTGCGTCCTGCCTACTTGCCAGGAACTTCCAAGGGTTCAATTATCAGCAGAGAGACTATGCATTCAACAGACATGATGATGGCTGGGACTATTTCTTTAAAAATAACAGTATACATAATGCTAACCAAGCTGAGATAAAATGGGAACAAACCATCATCCCCCTCATCACTAGTTCCCACATGGATCAAAAGTTCATGCCCACTTATCTTCACTCTGCAGGAGCCTACCTGGAGACTCCTAATGCACAAATTATCCAACCTAGCATATCCTTTCCAGAAAATATAGTGAGTGGACAGCAAAAGGATGACCAATATATATCAGATAGAGGGGCCCTTGCTGATTATTATTATCTATTATTCTTAATTACTCCGATTCTAGTTTGCATTCATTCCTCTCCCAAAGGAACACCGCCACAGTGCTAACAACTGGAATATATGATAAAAATCTAATTATACTAATTCTTTCCCTTCTCCCTCCTTTCTCTTTAGGTATGAGCACATGCATATATGTATATGCCCCCTACTGTGTGTGTATGTGTGTGTGTGTTCCCGAGAGAGAGAGAGAGAGAGAGAGAGAGAGAGAGAGAGAGAGAGAGAGAGAGAGTGAGTGAGTCTTGTTATATTAGTCTAGGCTGGCTTTGAACTTGAAATCTTCCTTTGTCAGTCACATAAGAACAACATTAAAGGCTTATCTTGTTATACCCACAAGTCCTGGATATTTATGTAAAAAAACCACAATCAAACATCATAAGCAAACTGTAGACAATGTAAAGGCAAACAAAGTCAGAAACAAATGTAAGACTGTTTCAACTTACAAGTTAAATAAGAGAAAACACTAACAAAGACTACATTTTCTCTTCAGGACCCCACTGAATATTTTTTAATTGTCTATATATTGAACCAGAGGCAGTACAAACCACATTCTCAAATCATAATTGAGTAATACTGGAAGTTAATTCCAAACCTGAAATATAAAAATGTATAGTATATAGAAGACAAGCAGGAAAAGTTTTGCACTTCCGCTAAAGAAGAAATCTGGAACTGAGAACATCTAGAAATCATCCGAAGCCAGAGAATATGCTTCACTACAGTGGTAGCTCAAGGAAAGTTTAGAGCTCTCAAGACTTAACTTTTAAGATGACCTGGGAACACACAGCTCTAAATGAGATGTCTCCATCAAATCCCTCCCTTCAGATCTCAGGGAATCTTGTGGAAGAGGAGTCAGAAAGAATGTAAGAGCCAGAAGGGATGGAGGACACCAGGAGATCCCGGTCCACTAAATCAACATGATCAAAGCTCATATGAACTCACAGAGACTGAAGCAGCAACCACAGGGCCTGCATGGGTCTGCACCAGGGCCTCTGTGTATATATTACGGCTTTCAGTTAGTTTAGTATTTTTATGGGACTCCTGACTTCTTCTGTCTCTTGTGCCTTCTCTTGGACTTTTTCCTTCTTTGGTTTGTCTCGTTCAACATCTATGTGATAGTTTTTGTTTGATCTCAGTATATTTTAGTTTGTCATGTTTTGCTGTTATGGCTTAGATTCCTGTTCTTTTCTAATGAGGGACAGAAAAGGAGTGTATCCCGAGGGGAGAAGCGGGAAGGAACCTGGAGGAGTGGAGGGAAGGGAAACTATAATCCGAAGTTGTGAGGGAGAAGGACTGTTACCAGCTGTGGAATCTGCTCTGAAGTTACCGCGAATGAGGTAGTCTCACAGATAGAAAGGTGAACTCATGGCAGAAAATCAAGAATGCTGGCAGCAAGTGCAGCACCTGTAGTCCCAGCACTTAGGATGGAGGCTGAGACAGGTCGACTTCCACGAGTCCAAGGCCAACCTGGGTGGCACAGCAAGACTCTGTCTCTAAATATTTAATCAGGCAATAAAAATGTCAAAACATATAGAATTCTAAACTGGTAAATTCAAAAACATGTGAAGTTAGTTCAGTATAACCTAAGCTAGGAAAGATGACCATTTGCCTAGAGTTTAGGAACAACTAAGATAAGTGATAAGGTTAAACCTTCATGTCACTATTTCCAATAAAGTTCATATGCAAATGTGAAAAAGACATTATAATTAAATTCTAGAGGAAACAAGGAAAAACTTTAATCCTAAGATTAAATTCTAATGTAAGTCACCAAATATAGATTTAATCAAACAAAGGTGATATTTAATTTTAATTTCCCCCAAATTAAAAATTCATGATAAGAAAATATCAGAAACAGAACTAAAAGGTGATGATATAATGAGAAAATCTGTTTTAAGTGCAACTACGAGTAATGCCTTCGATATGTGAAGCACACTTACCAAGCCACAATAGAAACCAGCAACACAGTATGCAGTTGATTGCAAACTGAGGATGTCTTATCAACATAACAGAAAAGGTTCAGCCACATGTAAACTTTGAAATTGTATATACAAATGATAATGAACCATTTTAAAATAAACTAAAGAATTGAAAGGATCTAACACACTGTTGGTGGAAGCATAATTTCTTCAAAGGCCATTTGTAAAGAAAACAGAATCAGCACTGATTATCCTTTGAGCCAGAAACTCAATTTCTATGGATTTTACACATTTACA